TTTTGGGCATTAGTGGTTTCACTGCATCGGCAATCAGGTTTACACAAGTAGATGTGGTAAAAATGATCAAACGAAATCCTGCGAGAAAATCCAGTACCTCTGAGGTGGCACTGTCATAGCAGGGGATCGGATTTCATCCGTGAACGATTAATGGTAGCAAAATACACAACGATAACAGTATTAACGATATTGGAAGAAACTAATTACGAGGAAATTTAATGAAAAAAGGTGACGAAGATTCGGTCTCTCAACTGGTGCGACTACGAGAAACCCAGCATTCTGAAAATGACTGGAGTAGTAGGAGGAAGTAAAACAGTAGAAAAATCGCAATTATAAAGTAGAAAGTGACTGCAGGAATGAACGATCAATACGCGAAGGTCGGAGTGACCCCGATCTGGATGGAGACGGCGATGAACGGCGAATGGAAGAGTGAAGAAGAGACGGGCGTGAAGACGTGTGAAGAAAAGAATCATGTGAATATTCTACCAAACTTAGCAAAAATTTTAGGATTCTTCCCTGAAACCCTCAAAGTTGTCCTGACTGACTAGAATTTACTTCTGTTTAACATAACAATATTAATCAAGGAAACTAATTGAAGAGGATTTCCTATCAATCACTGAATGGTCAGCGAAGGATTATCCATTCAGTCTTTCAATTTCGCATAAGAAACGTCATCTCATCTTTGATTTTAATTTGCTGTTTCGCCCATAAATCTTTAAGCATATCAGCGTCTCGATACAGCTTTCGTTTGGTCGATTTCGCTATGGTACTCTCCATTGGGAGACTCCCACGTGCAGAGCTGAGGGAGGGGCTTCTGGAATTGCGAGTTACCATGGATTGTCTTGGCCGCCATGATAAACTCAGACAGCCGCTCTCCCTGTTCGTTCCATTCTAATCCGTCGGTATTAATGTGACGTTCTTCAGACGTTCTTCTTGGTCCAATTTTGGCGTTCAGATCTCCAATGATAACCTTGAAGAATACAGATCGTCACCATAGTTCCTTGAAATCCAGGTAGCTTCCATTGGCCCTGAGATTCTAGCAGACTCGCCGCACTCGTCCTACGCGACGCTGCGAAATGGGGGTCTTTCCGGGTCAGGGGAATGAGGACCGTTTTTTTAACTGTGGTTAGCATGTTTGATACCCACGTATAGCTTGCTGATCTCTGTACGTGGGGGCTGAGTGTACTCACGGGTAGGTTGCCAGGCTCTCCCAGAGTGGACATAGAGCTAATTTGTTGGAGGCGACTTCTAACCGCCTCCCATATACTTCCCAGTCACTTGATTGCAGGTTTTTGGCCGAATTGACTCGTAGAATACAATCCGCATAAACAAGAGCGCACTAAAGCGCACCCACACACGCGTGCATGAATACGCCTAGCAAATACGGAAAGTATGTGCCAAATCAGAGCAGCCGAAACAGGGAGTCCACCCCTGGATCCACCTGCTTGTCAGAGAAGCAAAGGTCGCTTTTGGTCCACGATTAACACCCCATCCGCCACCTAGGGACGTGCGAAGTAGCCTCGCGATTAACCGGCACGAGATCCCTCATAAGAGAGAGATCCGGCTGTCTAAGCTTATCACGGCAACCAAGATAATTCATGGTAACTCGAAATTCCAGAAGCACCATCCTGAGCGCTGGACATTGTAGCCTCCGAATGGAGAGGAGAGTACCATAACGAAATAGACCACATCATACTAAATAGGTTTTGCCTAACCGATGTCGCTGTTCTCCTAAAATTCTACACGGAATCAGACCACCGTCTCTTTCGTGCAAGATTCTATTTATTGCGGAAAGGAGAAAAAGCCGCTAAATTCAAAAGCCGAAGTTCTAGAACCACCACAAACTGGGACTTATTCAATTCATTAGTCGGCTGTTGGGAAAATGCCGCTGTCGATAACACCGACGAAAAACACGATCAGTTCATTCAGCATCTTCACGTTTGCGCTACGAAGGCTGAGAGTTCGGAAGTCACCAAGAGACGTCTGACCCCAGAAACACTCGAGCTGACACGCCAGCATGGAATCCCGCGCGCTGCAGGCAACCGCGAACTAACGTCAGAACTTGCAAAACAATGCAGACAAGCGATAAAAGAAGATCTTAAAGAGAAAAAGAGCAGTAGTAATGGTCGAAGCCGCAGAGGTTGAGAAAAGCATTCTCAAAGTCAACCGAAGTTTCGCCAGTTACATGACAAAAATGATTGCACTTCGGCGCCCAGACGGATCAATTACAGAGTCCAGAAAGGCAATGGAGAAAATCATTCACGATTACTACTCGGATTTCTTCGATAGCCACGTCCACCTTCTGTTATATGAAATAAAGGAGGGTGGATATGTTGTACCACCGGTTCTCCCTTCCGAAAACCGACATGCCATCTCGTCGGTGAAAAATCGAACAGCACCAGCTCTGGACAGGATAAGACCAGAACACCTGAAGAACCTTCCGCTAGTCCTCGTAAACACACTAGCCCGGCTCTTTACACGTTACCTGTCTGAATGCAAGGTCCCTACCTAGTGGAAGACCAGTAAGACAGTGTTATTGTTCAAGAAGTGTGACCTACGCGATATCGGCAACTATCGTCCAATCTGCATACCGTCTGTCGTCTACAAACCTTTCACTCGTGTAATCCCAAACAGGATTGACGAAACACTGGACGAAAAACAGCCATGTGAGCAAGCAGAGTTTTGAAAAGGATTTAGTACGATGGACCACATCCACACGATAACAAGGCTCCTTGAAGTAACGCGAGAGTACAGAAGACCGCTCTGTCTCACTTTCATCAATTTACAGAAGGCCTTTGATTCAATTGAGATAGAAGCAGACTTGGAAGCCCTTGATTTTTAAGGAGTTCCTACTCAGTACATAAAGATTCTTGGTGAGCTGTACAGAAATGTCACGGCCAAGATATTACCATTCTACAACGATATTAACATTGACGTCAAAAGAGGAGTTAGGCAAGGCGATACCATCTCGCCAAAATTATTTACCGCCACCCTCCAGAACGTCATGCGAACATTGGAATGGGATAATATGGGAGTGAAAATAGACGGTCGGCAGTTTCACCATCTTCGCTTTGCTGATGACATAGTCCTTATAACACCAAACAATAACCAAGCGGAACGTATGCTTGACGACTTTGATAAAGCCCGTGGAATGATTGATTTTCGACTAAATTCACAAAAAGGATGTTTATGAAGAACGGATAGGTTTCGCTTGCCCCATTCACGCTAAACGGAACGAACATCTCCGAATGCTCCATTTATACCTATCCAGGTCGGAAAATCGATGTGGTGAACAAACTAGCTCCTTATCTGAGCAGAAGGAAACGAGTAGCTTGAGGAGTTTTCAAAGGCATCTAGGATGTAGTGAAGAGAACAAGGAACACCCGACTCCGTGCCCACTTTTTCGACTCAACGGTACTTCCTACCCTAACGTGTGCGTCAAAAACGTGATCGCTGCACGAGCACGATGAAAGATCACTTAACATTTTCGGACGCGCAGTCGAAAGGGCGATGCTAGGAGTACCCCGTTCCACACAAGTAAGGGATGGGATCCGAAGCTCCGACCTGCGTCAACGATCAAAAGTCAAAGAATCTGTTCTATGTGCCAAACGGGGGACAATAAGGTGGCCTGGACGCGCAGTGCGTGTAAACGACAACCGTTGGACATGAACATGGATTCCTCGGGATGTCAAACGTACTGCAGGAAGACTACGAACCTGATGTTCAGAGTTCTTTACGAAGAGCCTAAAAGAAAGATATGACGCTCGACGTGTACCTAGAGCGAGTAGAACCCACTGGGATACTCTTGCACACGACAGGGAAAAATAGAAGATTTACTGGCGCCTGCTCGGATCACTCGACGATCAACGGGACTACAGGTGATACAAGTGAAGATTAGTTTGACACTAGGACGGTAGTCGGGTCATGCTATTGGTTTATTCTATGCTGGGCGAACTGATGGAAACGTGGGACTCTCTCTCAGCTTGGGAGGCCCTGCTACGGAAATGAACTTCTCTGCTTTATATCTCGGCCCTACACCAAGCAACCCCTTCCAGCCACGGTGAGGAGCTAAACCATTGGGAGGCACTCTTCAAAAGAGACTTGTCAAATGAAAAAAGATACGAGTTTGGTAGAAATTGTTCTGGGGACCATACGATTCATTGTGATTCCAGATAAGCACTCTTTTCTTCCGTCTATTGTTATTTTTGTTGGAGCAGGTATTGAATGAAAATTCAATGAATCGCCTTTCTTTTAACTTTGCCGAATAGCACACTGCGAAATTACTAGAACACCGGGCTCCACGAAAATTTCGACAGAAGATTGCCTTTCATACTACCAAATTTGAATCCGTTAGACCTTTTTCTCGAAATAGGGCCATTTTAATACCGTCTAATACCGATCATCCAAGTATCCAAGCTAGTAAACAGTGTGTCGCAGTGATTTGGGCTATTCGATGTCATGTTTAGATATTTATATTACTCCTAAATTTCTGGGTAAAGATGCCCCTTCAGTGGAACAGTTAAGCATATGAACCGTTGACGTAACAAGTTAGAAGGATAAAGAATAAAACTCCCAATGTTGATCAATCCCTGAGGGATGCGCCATGCATTGGACTTCATTAAGCATCGTTTGGAAGTGATTGAATGCATACCTGGCCTTTACAATGGCTCTCGGTGGCCGACCGATGTACCGAGCCAGTGCGGCTATCCTTCCAGACAAGTCTGATACCAAATTTCCGACCCCGAGAAAGGGAAGGCTTGGTGTGCCATTGGCACGGAATTGATCCCACGCTTGTGTTACAGGGCGTCACCGACCACGGCGACAAACGCGCCCTTTCTGATGTAACAAGTTAAAGTTCTCAAAAGTTCTGTTTATCCACGAGGCACTTGATCCCACCGAAAAAACACTGTAGTAAGTAAAATTTATAGCCAATTATCTTACAATCTTACAACTCAACAAAAATGATGCATTTCATTCAAGTCAAGATCCGGAAATATTGCTTAGTTGATATCTTCATCAGTCATATAGTTCTTCACCATATAGGAGAACTCGTCGTAGTCTATCAAACCATTACCATCGACATCAGCCTAAAAAATGTGTTTAAAAAAGTAGGTGAAGAAGAAAAACAAGAGGTAGGAAAAATAGCTAAAGTTTTTCACCTCAAGAAAGATTTCGTCTATTATTTGGTTATCTGTGATATCGCCTAACTCTCTCAGAATATACTGGAAGTCCTTTTTGGAGATAACACTCGATTCCGACTGAAATGTGGTACCGCAGTAGTCAAAAGCACAGAACAACAAATAGTTCAATTACAATTTTTTAACTTATTATTTACTGCCTACTCTTTTTAACGGCAGCGTATATATATAACTAAAAAATATAACTAATAACAAAATATAACTTTAATGATACAGAGATATTTGCAAAACTCCGGACCGCAGGTGTCTGCGGTGGAGAACGAACGCGCTATTGTCCTCTCCGGGGAGTAATGCGTTCACCTGCCAAGTTACTACTAACGACAATTGTTCTTTTCAAATTGTTGCTTAGAAGATGAAGCCGTTGCAGAAAACGGTTTCAACAGCAATTATTTAAAGTTTTGTAGCAAACAGACGACGTTCCCCTAGTTAAAAAATATGGCTGGAAAAAAGAAAAGGCTTAAATACATATAGACATATGAGGATGTCATAGCATACCCGATCAAAAACGCTGAAGCATTCTTTTACGACCTCATTCCAGCTTCGTTTTTTCATGTACAGCCGCCTCATCACCACACAGAATTCGTCAAAGTCAATTTGATGATTTCCGCGCTGGTCTACCTTAAACGAGAACGATTTTTGTCGATATTTTCTAAACCTACATGAGCGAATGCCACAATGATTTTCTACGTTATGGGACAAAAACATGGTAAAAAAAAGGATATGGTCTCGCTGTTCATGCAAGCGGAACCGATTAAGGAGTTCAAGCGCGGGAGAGCACTAACTCACCACAGAGGTAAAACAGGTTAATCGTTTAGGGCGTTTTCCGAAAAGGTTGACAAATTCAAGATCTGATGCTATACTCGCTCTTACGAATTATGGAAAAGCAAGCTTGCTTGTCGAATGTGTAATGATATCTAAGAGCTTTCAGTGAATGGGACTACCCCCATTCTTAACCACATACGGCACGTACCTAACTCAATTCAAAGTGTTAACTTTTATTTACTGCCTAATCTTTCTTAACGAGAGAATGTGATGTGAAAGCAACAGCAAGGACACTAAAATATGGGCCAAACTCGGAAACTCATGAGATCTTCGAGCCAGTTATTACCTTTCTGGAATCTCAAGTCCAATCCACCACAGCAACCAACGCACCTTTCTCCCAGCCACGTCCTCACTTTTTCCGTGATACCAGCAATCACCCGTTAACAGAAATGATTTGAAAAGATTGCGCAACAAATAAAAGCCAAAAAAAATGTGATTTCGACTGAAGCTTCAAATTAACTCTATACCGATTCATGCTTCCCAGATAATTCCCATTGAAGGGTGATTGCACCGTTAGAGTGAAAAACTAGCTGACAGAAAGGCAAACAAAGGTCGCGGTTGTTGTAGTGGATAACGCGTAGGACCCTGGAAAGTGTAATCTTGGGTTCGAAGCACCCTAAGGTTCGGAGTTTTGTTAACATCTCAACACCCCTCTGGTTAGTTGTATTACAGGTGCTGTTTTCAAGGTGCTTCAAGTGTACCAAAAGTTATCAATGTACTGCCATTACCAGCAATAACTTCTGCAGAACTCTGCCTGCACAGTAAACAAAGAAATCGCTACAGATTTTATCGAGAACAATCTCATTCCAATAGCGATTCATTCCCTATTGTAAATGGTTTAAAGCGGCAATTTTTGAACCATACCGAGTAGGAGTGCAATAAAAATGTTACTGACATAGCAGTGAATTACTAGTAAAGATACTATAGAGAAGTTCAAGACAAACAGAAGTCCGAAAAAAGTTGAAATCAATTCAAATCAACTAACAGGATATCCCTAAAACAATTGCTCAGTTTACTTGTTTTCACAATGTTGACTTTTTATTTACTGCCTTTTATAAGTTTTCACGGCAGGGTATAATTTGTGAATCAGCCACAATGATGCTGAGATATTTGTAAAACTCTAGACCGAAGGTGACTGGTGGGGAACGAAAGCGCTGTTACCCCTTCCGGGGGCTAATACGTTCACCAGCATACCATGGAGGCCCTTCATTTCGCCTGTCTCTGAGCTACTACTTGTTTTTTGAATTATTTGGGCTTTTTCCTGAAACAGTTACAGCATCATGAACTGATTTCAATGCCTCGCAAGAAGTATGAATGGGAGTGTCCAAAGTGAAGAATTTACTTGAACACAGGGTTACCAAATTAAAAGACGTCGCCTGACCTCATCGATGATTTTGTCGAGTTCATCTCGTGTCTGTTCGAGACCCAAATTTCGAATTGCCGTCTCCAATTCGTCGAGGGCGATTGCTCCACTTCGATCTGATAAAAGAGCGCCATGAATTGAAATAGCCTTGAAAAATTACCGCAAAATCAACCAGGACGATAAATTTGGCTAAAAACAGTCTTTTTCCAACCGGAAGCGATTTTTTTATTTACTGTTCTATCAAGAATCATCAACTACTTGATTTCGCTTTTAGAAAAAATGTTGCCATACTTCAAATTGAATATTGTGTTTGAAGAACGACAGTTCCCACAGAATTTTACTACAAAATTTTTTTAGAAAACTTTTTAACTCTTCTGGACCGTAAGTGTAGGCTTGTATGAAAAGATTTACTGAGCAGTTATATTATTTTCCACTTTCTCATCGGTGGATTTTCAGATGCATTTGGATTGAAATCAATGCAAATTGTCCCGTCCATGTGAGTCCCAATGAGTCCCAATGAATCAATGAGTCCCGCACATAACATCACGGCTCTGAGGAAGGCGAAGTCGCCGAAACGTCAGCCATCGTTCAATAACATCAAAAGCAACGACAACGACAACGACAACGACAACGAAGATCTGTACCAACCTCGCGTCAGTTTAAGAAGATCAGTTTATAAGATCACATAAATAAATATATCAATGCAAATTGGTTGTTGGGAAATGTCTTGAAATAACACGCAAACTAGAGTACATTTGTCCTATTTATTTTATCTTATTTGACACGTCTTCATGGCTACTGTGCAGATTCCAGCATTTCTCACATTCTATTAGTTTCCTCGCATATACTGCCTACGAAGGTCTTCCAACTTTACGTGTGGCTTCGGTTGCTGCATGAGGATTTTCATTTCATCTCGAATTTCGTAGAATGCTGGTTGAGCAATTCTCTCTGGAGCCCTGAGATAGCCGGGCTGGAGCATTCCCGATTGGATCGTAGAGAGTGATTTTTCCCATGCAAGTCCGGTACCAATTTTCTGGTTCCGGAGAGATGGCGTGGTTGGCCCGGAGCGGAATCGAACTAGCAGCATACTTGTGATGACGGACATCACTACCACTGTGCTATGCGCCCCCTTAGAGTACACTGTCGTACACAAATATGCCAATTTTTTGAAAAAGCGTCAAATAAGAAAAATACATAGAAGCTGGATTTCTTATAGGCTCATATCTTACATACGCACATACTTTTCATTCCATATGTTTTCGTTGTGATTCTCTAAACTCATATAACTACAAATAATGGCTGTTATAACTTCAATGATGCTGAGATATTTGCAAAACTCCGGATCGCAGGTGTCTGCGGTGGGGAACGGACGCGCTATTACCCTTTCCGGGGACTAACGCATTCATCATCACACCACGCGGGTCTTTCGTTTCGTCTGTCTCTCAGCTAGTTCTATCGATCAGTGCCGTCAGCAATCACCCATCAACGGGATTGATCTAGGGAGCCCAAATCGGCAACGAACCTAGTTCAACTGAGACTGTAGTTGTAATCACAATTTTTAACTTATTATTTATTGCCTATTTTTTTTAATGCAAGGGTATATTGTAGGGTACATTAAAAAGAGTATGCAGTAAACAATAAGTTATCAATTGTGATTATAACTACAGCCTCAACTTAATTCGTTCCCAATTTGGTCTCCTAGATCAATCCCGTTGACTGGCGATTGCTGATGACGTTGATCGATGGCTGAGAGACAGGCGAAACGAAGGACTCGCATAGTGTAGTGGGGAACTCGTTAGCCCCCTGAAAGTGTAATAGCGCGTTCGTTCCCCACCGAAGACACCTGAGGCGCGGAGTTTTGCAAATATCTCAGCATCATTGAAGTTATATTTCGCAATATATCCTGCCATTAAGAAGAGTAAGCAGTAAACAATAAGTTAAAAAATGGCTGTTATACTCGGCCCTCTTGTCATGCTTATAGATAACAGATGGAGATCGGTTAAGTGAAGTCATTTCATTATTTTAGTCTTCTAGAGTAGTCGTGTAATGGAAATTTTGCCTATGGTGGTGGCAGCGATCATCATTTTTCACGAAATCCTAGGGTGCACTCCGAAAAAAAAGGTAAGTAACTTAGATCTAACTAAAAAATGTAATAGTGAGTACCAAGACTATACGTTTTACAGCCAAAAAAGAACCACCCAGTAAGCAATGCTAATAGAAAGAGCATCTTAAGAGATGAAAAAAAAGAAAAAGAGGAGAAAAAGAAGAAGAATGATGAAGCAAAAGATCATACCAAGGTGCAGTGAAAAACTTAACTAAAATCGAAGACCAAGATTTAATTGATAGAATTTACAGAATTCACAACGAAGTTTAAAAACGGCGAAGTTAATCGGTGAGCCTTCAGAAGGACTTTTCCACTTGATTCACTTTCTCTATCATATTTCCTATTTCTACCACAATATAACACAATTCATTGTTTCCTGTAAGTTGTAATGTGGCGTGACAACATCCTTAATATGGGAGATACCACAGGGGGTGGTAACATAACCAGAATACAAAGTATAGGTATCGACCTAGCAACAGAATCGAGAGCTAGTAGAGACTACTACTAGGATATTTTGATGGGCCGCCCTCACTAATTGTGCGAGACCCTGCATAATACCCATTTTTTCGGAGATTTGCTGGTTCAGCCACTGTGGTTCCCTGGAGTTCCGAGGTCAGCCTGGCCAGTCTGCCCCAGGTCATCACCGCCGTGGGCAGCCGCAGCCCTTGTGGATCAGATGGAGATTTGCCACCATGCGACTTTGATACCAGGACGGTGGTGGATCCTGGTATTGGTTTACACTTAGCTAGGTTTCCTGATGGAAACGCCAGACTTCTTGAGAGACCCTGCCGGGAGACGAATCCCCCCGCTGTACAACGCAGTCCGACACCCAGGAACACTTCCCAGTCACGATAAGGCGGTAGGCCGCTGGGAAGAACTGAGAGTATTAGGGTATTCAAAACCAGCTGCATTCCAGAAAATCAAGGCTGACAATAATCACTGAAAGTATGAAAACAGAAAACAGAAAGTGATCATCATGTTTAATCACTTGGTTATCACTGATTCGTAACTCTTGAAATTCCAATTTTTCTAATAAACTCAAGATGGTTTAGAAACACCACCAGAGAGAGTTGAACCTACAGGGCAGAAAAAGGTGTGTACGTCAATGGAGATTTTTCCACCATAATTCCGATGGCACATTAAGCTAAAAAAACATGAAGAAAACTATTTCAGCAAGAGGGGAAGGAAGAAGAAAAGAAAGTGGAAAGCAAGGTGAATTTTCACAACGAGATTATTTTTATACGTAAAAACCTTAGTTAATACTTTCGTGAATTATTCCAACACGAAAAGAATTGGTCGGTGGCGATTGAGATGTTTCTAAGATGTGAACCATAAGGTTTTTCTGGCAGTCACCAAAGCAACGAAAAAGTTTGACATTTCTATACGAAAGTACAGTCAAAAGTCTAGAGAAATCGCTCCTATGTAAGAAGGGATCTAATCAATAGGTCAAGAACTATTGCGAGACTTCCAGATTCACCATTCAAGCTATAGCTTTAGCAAATTACTGTTATCACAAATGATCTTCGCCACCATGACAAAATGAAGCAGAACCTCGTCTTGTTCATTGAGTTCTAATCCGTGGGTCTCGACGTAAAGTTCTTGAGATGTTCTTCTTGCACCCATCTATGCGTTAAATTTAAATAATCTTGTAAAAAGCACGATAGTTTCTGTATAATTCTTCTGCTTGTACCCATCAAGGAAGCTCGATCTGGATTGTCAATTATTTAACAGGTAATGGATAATATAAGCGTGGACGTCTATAAGCCACGCTCCTAGCACCCGGTATGACTTCTACATGGGTTTTTCTCTTTAATAACTTATTTTTCCCCCGTAACAAAGCTTATCGAATATAGATGTTGTTGTAGCCACGCATCGGTAGAAACTCTACTTTGGATGTGGAAATATATAACTTTTTCTCGTGTACTCTTAATCCAGCTGTGAACAATAGTCATCGGATAGAATGTGCGGGTGTAAGAATCGTGATTCTTACGTACGTAGTGATCCATACTGCATCTTAAAAACACCTTTAGTTTCATTCTAAATGGTGCCCTCACAAACAATCACTCAACAGAAATTCTGGTCAAAAGCAATACACTGAAGTGGGACTGAAAGAGACCGCTACAGACAAGGATCTTCTACAGATGCATCAGCCATTAGCCGTTATGTGTAAATTGTGGACGATTTCTTACACATTGCTATCTCATTACACTATCTCAAAAAACCATCACGTTTACAAAAGGTTCAATTTTTTCCCCAGGGTTTTCCATAGCAAGAGTAATTTCTATTAACTAATCTAAGTTAACCTCCCAACGGTTTACCGCCTCATCATGGCTGCGAGGTGTTCCTAAGTGTTGGACTGCGATGTACAGCAGGGGATTCATCCCCTGGCAGGGTCTCCTTAGATGAGAAGGACTCCGGCGTTTCCATCAGGAAGCCTAGCTAAGAGTGAACCAATACCAGGATTCACCGCCGTCCTGGTATCAAAGTCGCATGGTGGCAAATCTCTCTCTGATCCACAAAAAATGGAGATTATGCTGGGTCCGCCCAACCAGTGAGGACGGGCCATTCAAGTACCATGTATCAAGTAATCTAAGTTAAAGCTATCTATCTAATATCTCTCTAGCAATTAGTTCATATTCAGTGGAAAAGCTGTTTTTATCTAGATTACAATTAACTGGTCCTTCCCATGCAAAGAAAAAACCACGATTTCAGCATTTGTTGTCCAATCCGATTGTTACTCCATGCACCGACGAATTCCCAACTGAAGAGGCTGAAGAACAGAAACCAGTGAAAAAAGAAGACGTTAAAGAAAAAGCTGAAGGCAAAACCGAGAAAAGAGGTCAAAAAGAAGCAAAGCAAAATGACAGTGTTGTGGACTACAAATCAAGAAAGAAAAAGAAAGGAAAGGATGTGGGTACATTATTAGCTTGATACCACTTATCCAACAATCTCTTACGAACATCTTTCACAAAGTTAATAATTAGAGGAAAACTGTTAGATTAGGTAAAGGCCTGGTAGCACATTTCAAATGCATTCCTTTGGAGAAAATCTTTTTCACTGCGGACCCTCATTTGGATATTTAGTCTCTCGCTCATCTATTTACAGGCAGTCACAAAAGGATTGAAATTAGTGGCAGTTAGAGGTACCACCTCGTCGATAACTACAAGCGGCAACGAAAAGCATCCGTGCTCGACTGTGCACAAATTGATGTAGAAATTCAGTTGCCATCATTTTATTATCCAGTAAACCTGCGATGGGAATGGTTTTCAATCACTTAAGGATGCGAATAGAGCTGGGTAATGCTCCGCAAATGAGCTCCTGAAGAACTTAGCGATGGGTCCGATGCGATACCGATATACGTCATGCAATGCATCTGCCCAACGGACGACAGTTAAAGTGAAAGAGAACCAACGCGTCACCAAAACATCTTTCGTGCTGAAAAGAAAAGACAGAATCGGTCGAAACGAATACAGGATTCCTTATTCCGCAATCACCGTGTAAAGCTTTGTTAAAATTATGTTACACATGTCAAGATTAAAGAGTGAGAAGGGTGCAATGGGTATAGATGCCGATACGCCTATGCTTAGTGGTTCAGGCTCTCCTCGCGTCTAAGAAGCTTCCCATTCAACCAAGGTCGACGAATTGACACCAGGTTTGCCTGGGAAGTGCTCCTCCCACCATCAAAAGCAGAAAACTGCCTTGTTGTGAAGACCTCGGAAGGATTTAGTAAAGCAAGTGCGACTCAAGATTCCAGAGTGAATCATTTCAACCCAGCACTCAATGATATTCGTCAGGGAAAAAGCCACCGCATGGCAGACGTATTTCTTTCCTGGTCCAAGAGCTCAGTGAAGGGTAGATGCGAGAAAGAAGACGAACGAAAGACGTTCTGAGTTCTGCATATGTGAGATCAGGTCATATAGATAAAATAATGAAATAAACAACCGGTATGAAGCGTTAAATGAATCTCCGCTCTTAATTCGTGAAGTAAAATAATAAGTGACAAGATTTTGATAGTGTTCCCGTTCGTTACCTGTCGCCGTTGTTCATCATTCATGTAAGATAGCGAAGAAGAGACCCAGTTTTCGTAAGAATTCAAGCTTGAGCGAGGCGAAGCAGCAAGCCTTTTCTACTATGGACCTTCACGGGTTCATAAGTGCTTATCTCACTTTATCTATTATTTTATCCCACTTATTTTGGGTGGACATTTCGTTTTCAGAAAAATGATCACAGCCATGTAGGAGACGTATTATGCTTTAGAGGAACGTGTCCGATCCAATAGTTACGCCATGTACGGACGAATTCCCGACTGAAGACGAAAAAGCCATGTAGCGGAAGACATCAACGAATCTGCGACGCACTGAAGAATTCCACCAATGAATCGAATATGTTTCACCAATTGACGCCATTTATTAAATGCAGTGGTTTTAAACAAAACATAACCAAACGTATGCTGATCTCATTATGAGTTGTATTACTCATTATTAGGGATCAAGCGTTTATAAAAAACAAGAACAACTTGTTTTCTGATAATAAAGATTTTTAAAACTGAGATGTTCGATGACGTTTTAAAAAAGCAAGTTCTACCTCTGGTACCTCTGGTAAGTGCTCCTTTGTTCTCGTACTTCTCTTGTAGTTTTCATTATTACTCTCTTTTCTCACTTGGTTATATAGTTTCTATTTCTCCGCTTGATGGAATTAAAGGATAGGAAAAGCTCTCAGCGTTGATCAATCTCTTAGGGCAGCGAGCCATACATTTGACTTCATTAAGCATCGTTTGGAGGTGATTGAATGCATACCTGGCCTTTAAATGGCTCTCGGTGGCCGACCGCTGTGCTATTCTCACAGACAAATCTGGTACCAATGCCGACCCCGGAGGGATGGACGGCTTGGTGGGCTACAGGCGCGGGGATCGATTCGTGTGTGTTGCAGGGCGCCTCCGACCATTGCACCACACGCGCCCATTCATTTGAGCTTGATGGAATTGGGGGCTTAAATGCCTTGGCTTGAAGTTGGAAGTCAGAGATTGGTCCGAATAGTCGGGAAGAGTTTGTAGTCATTTAGCAAGGTGTCGTGAGAAAAAACACGATGTGTGTGATGAAAGTCCAACAACGCTCAGAAACACGTTTAGTTATTCTAGTAATAAACAGGCCGATAATCAGTCTCAAACCAATTTTGTTCCTGCTTGAGAGGAAAAACATCTTTTCGGACTTGCTGTCATGTGAAGTAACCCATCAAACAATCAAACAACGTACCGATATCGAACATATTGAAAACCTGACGATATTCGGATAGTTCGTCTTCTGTGTAGTCATCCAGAGCTGACAGTAATGGAGCGGTCGCACCACCCGGCCCATCAGTTCGATCCGAATGCAGCTTTAACTAGAAACGAGTCGGTAGTAAACAGAGTAACTCATGGATTTTATGTTTTCTATTTACTTACCTCACAATTATTTTATCATACGAACTGTTCTCGCATAAATCTTTAATTCTTAGTAAGAACTTCCTTTAAACCTATTTACGTAGCATCCAAAGGGTTTCAGCTCATATTAAAGGACAAAAAAGTATAAAGCCCTCGGCACTGATCAATATCTGAGGGGTGCGCCGTGCATTCGACTTCAGTAAGCACCGATGGAGGTGATCGGATGCATACCTGGCCTTTAAAATGACTCGCCGTAGCATGCCGATGCATCGAACCAGTGCTGCTATATTTATTTATATGATCTTATAAACTGATCTTCTTAAGCTGACGCGAGGTTGGTACAGGTCTTCGTTGTCGTTGTCGTTGTTTTTGATGTTGTTGGTCGATGGCTGACGTTTCGGCGACTTCGCCTTCCTCAGAGCCTGGACGTATTTTATATTATAATATTATTCGGTGGAAAAAAGGTTAAAGTATTAATGAAGATCAAACTTTCAAATAGACGCCATATCGAACAGAAAGGCCACTCACCGTGATGTTACGTGTGGGACTGGCCCACAGGTAGTTCACGTGGGGCTGCGAGCAAGACACAACACGAGGTCAAAATATCATTTTGAAATAGGGCGCCAGGTCACGCGTGATGGGGAGACATTCGTCTTTCAGGTTCATCTTTCATTAATACTTTAACCTTTTCTCCACCGAATAATAAAAATATTCTAATATGAAATACGTCCAGGCTCTGAGGAAACGAAGTCGCCAAAACGTCAGCCATCGACCAAAAACATCAAAAACAACGACAACGACAACGAAGATCTGTACCAACCTCGCGTCAGCTTAAGAAGATCACTTTATAAGATCACATAAATAAATATATCAACTATCTATGCCGAGGTTCATAGAAAGTCGGTCTTTCGAGTGCTGCTATACTTTCAGACAACTCTGGTACCAATTTCCTAACCTCGGAGTTATGGAAGGCTTGATGAGTTTTGGACGCAGGGATCGACCCAATGCAGGGCACCTTCGACCACTACGCTACACGCGCCCCTTTCCCAGCCCGTATTCGACAAGAACATGATGAAGGAATACAATATGGAGACAATATGTCTTACATTAACATAAAAGTATTTTTGCTTCAAAGTGGATATGACTCTGTGATTTGCTCAACAACTTTATCAACGCCGATTACAACGTAAATTTTCCAGTGAAGTGGTGAAATTTTCTCCACAGTTTTTCACCGCTTCGGAGAAAAACATCTCTACAACGATTATTAGCAGTTGAAATGAAGCAAAAACGAAGTAAACATGAACGGGATTGTTTTCAAAAGAATGTCCGTTGCAGTTAATCAACACTGCTCACCTTTCTCAGAGAGCCTTGCGGTAAAATCACACGCGGTGAGGTAAAATTAGCCACCAGTGAAACTCTTTTCATTTCTACAAATTCATAAAAAAGAGTCTTTCAAAAAATAAAAAGCCTTTACACAAATCTAGCGTTAGCCCAAAAATCTAGAAGAACGTCGCTAAAAGGGAGTTATATTATGACCATGAGGCAATAACGTCAACACGAAGAAATGGACTAAGAAATTCTGAAAAA